TCATTACAAGGATAACAGGCAGCACTTTCATCTAAGGGCTAAATGAGATGAACTAAAAATTAAGAATTAAGGATTATCTGAGGCGGGGGGGGGGGGGGGGGGTCTCCAAACAACCATTTTATCTAAAGGCCTCATTTAAAACAGTTTTAACATACATATTAGAATCTTTGTTATAATACATTTTTAATAGTTTTCAACAAGTATCTTTTTTGTTGACAACATTCTTGTGACTTAAATACATGATATAAATTATCCCCACTGTCTCCTTTCAGGGAATTCCTTCCACTATGTAACTCTATTGTATTTCTTTTTCCACCCAAGCACAGCATTAAAACTGTTTCAGTGTAATATCCTTTTTCTTCTACTGACTCCAAGTAAGTCCTGGAATCATCAACATCATTTCCTGCAACTCTTTAGAGATCTTAATTACTTCAAAATAGGCAAGATACGTGACATTCCCATCAAAGGACTAGAAGTTTTAGGTCTCTTTCTATTTATTAGAACCAATGTTCTAATAACAATTCACTTAATTTTTAGCCATGTAACCCAGCAATGTCATTAATGGATAACTACCCAAAAGAAATTAAAACTCATATTCACACAGAAACTTAACCAGGAATGTCTAGAGTGGCTTGACTCATAATTGCCAATGCTGGAAACAACTCAAATGTACCTCAGTGGGGGAACAGATATAAACTGTGGTCCCATCACACAATGGAATTCTCGGTAGAGAAGAAAGAACTATCAATATATGCAATAATTTGTATGAATCTCAAAAGCATGATGCTGAGAATCTGTATAATCTCCTCTTCCTTCACACTCCTGACTATTTTTGTTTGTTTGTTCTTTGAGGTACTGGGGATTGAATCTAGGGCTCTGCACATGCTAGACAAGTGTTCTACTATTGAGCTACATCCCTTTACTTTACATTCTTTAAAAAAAAAACATGCCACACTTGGAATTGTGAACACACAGGTGGTTACAGGAGGTGATGGTAGGGGAGAGAGACTGTGGGAGACCAACCTTGCAAGTGACTGAGTCACACTCCCTGGCTGGGTACTGAGGCGCTCAGTCACAGAAATGTAGCAGAGCTTTCCCCACCCTTTTTGGGTTCCAGGGTCGGTGTCTCCATGCATGGGTGTGACTTGCTACAGCCCCAGGGGTGAAGCTACACTCACCTGTTTCTTTGTAATATAACCCCTTGCCCTGTTTAGGACAGAATCTTCCATGGAAGTGCCTTGTGTGTGTCCCCTTCTCTTACAGTGCCTTTGGGTGTGGCCTACCTAGATGTCAGTCAACCTGCTGACAGGGGACATCATGAAAATAGACTCAGCCCCCTGAAACCTGACCCCTTGCCTCATTTGAATAGCTTCTCCTCAATAAAAGGGGTCAGCGTGAGCTCGTGCCCTCTCTCTCTCTCTCTCTCTCTCTCTCTCTCTCTCTCTCTCTCTCTCTCTCTCTCCCTGTGGACCCTTAAGGTATTTGTGTTTCTAGTGTGGTTATTTTGCACAGCCCAGTTAGCCCAGTTCAACTGGAGTGACCCCTGAACCTTTTAGCTGCGAGAACTGAAACCCAGCAAGAGACAATAAAGGGAGAGTTTGAGAAGTTTTTTTTGAGTAATGGGGATTGTTCCACATCCTGACTATGGTAGTGGAACATGAATCTAAAATTCAAAGAACTGAAAACAAAAACAAAAAAAAATTTTTTTTTAAACAAACTTGGTGTTATTTTATTTGGATCTTTATTTTGTTCATTTATATGAGGTGCTGAGAATTGAACCCAGCGCCTCAGACATGCTAGGCAAGTGTTTTACCACTGAGCCACAACCCCAGCCCTGAAAAACAAAATTTTAAAAGTTATATAATTTAAAAAAATAGGGGCTGGGGATTGTAGCTCAGTGAGAGTTCTCATTTAGCATGTGTGAGGCACTGGGCTCGATCCTTAGCACCATATAAAAATAAATAAAAGTATTGTATCCACCTACAACTAAATAATAAAAATAAAAAAAGAGAATGGTTGTTTAAAAAAATAATATAAGCTTGCTTTATTTTGATGTTCCAGATGAATGTGAGTTCAAAAGATGCCCAAGTACAAGATGTTATATAACTATTGCACCTTCCCACATATTCACAATAGCTAGAAGAGAACATCCTATTTGCAAGAACAACAAAAATTACAAAATAGCCAAATGCAGTTACAAAAGCCTGCAATCCCAGCAATTCTGGAGGCTGAGGAAGGAGGAATGGAAGTTCAAGGCCAGCCTCGTTAACTTAGCAAGATCCTGTCTCAACACAAAAGATTTAAAAAAGGTGGGGATATAGCTCAGTGGCAGAGCACTCTGGGTTCTGTCCCTAGAACCCCAAACAAAATAAAAAACACTGGAATAAACTTAACAAGAATTATATAAAACCTAAAGAAAAAAAGATATGAAAACAAAATCAAGACACACTTGACATTTCTGGATAAAAAATCTGGTATCATTAAAATATCAAATTTTTGAGCTGGGGGTGTAGCTCAGTGGTAGAATGCTGGCCTAGCATGCACAGAGCCCTGAGTTTGACTGCAAAAACAAACAAAATATCATATTTCCCCCCCAAAATTTTAAATCTAACTTAATTTCATCCGAAGTAATCTAATCAAAATTCTGGCAAGTCTATTTTTAGAACGTGGCAACAAGATTGTAAAATTCATCTAGTAGTGTAAATAACAAAAAGAAAATTTTGAGAAATAAGAATAATCAACAGGGGACTTGACCTACTCCAAAACATCAAAATATACTTTCAAAGCTGCAGTGATAAAAACACCATGGTATGTTAGAAAACTAATATCTAGACTCTGATGTTCTGTTATAGCAGAAAAAATGGACCAAGACAACCAGACAAAAGTGATTTATAAGAGCTCTTAACAAAAGTACACAGTTATGTTAAAGAATGTTCACTGCAATTGTGTTTATGGCAAAAACATGAGAAATAACCCCCAGCTCATTGTGGTTCACCCACATGGTGGAAGACTATGCAGCCTTTAACCAAGTGTGAGATCTGTAAGTAACATACCCTGGACCTGTGTCTGGTCCAGATAATGTAAAAATATTATTATTATGTCCCATATGACTGCTTTTTTATTAAAATAAACAAAGAATTAACATATATATATACATACATATATATATATATATATAAAACTATGGGAATATACACCAAACCTCTGTCTATAAGTGATTCTCTTGGAAATTTCAAAGAACTTTCACTTTCTATATAATGAATTTCTTTTTTTTTTTTAATTTATTTTATTTTTTATATAATGAATTTCTACAATGTTTACATATTATATGATTCTGGCTCATACCTACAATAGGGGTAAGAAAACAAGAATAAAATGACTTTGTTCAAAGATTAAAAAAAAAAAAAGGATATTTTAAAATTAAACCATCATGGTAGTAATATTCAATTATTTTTGGAGAGAGAACCTTCTAAAAGTAAATATGGGGCATGGGGCAGCGGTGGTGGACGGGGTGTCTGTCTGTCTCAGTACTCTCCTGGCTTACCATCTGTGCCACACAGAAAAACTGTAGTAATCATTTGCGATTGGTGGGAACTAAACCAGAAGTTTTGTCCCTTATCTCAAGAAAGCTTTGATCAAGGAGAGCAGGGACCGCTCCAGTCCACTCATTTTTTTTTTTTTTTTTTACAGATTCCAAAGCAGTCCAGGCAGCTTAACAAGGAATATTAACCAAAAATCCAAATGAATTTATTTTGTCATTGAGACAACTTACTGACAGAATGACTGGCCCAGGGTTCCTGCTCTAACAGCCCCAGGCCTGCTATGCAGCAGACATTAGAGTCAGGACATTTTTGTCACATGGTCAGCCAATGGGAGATCATTTCTCTCAGAAGCTTCCTTCAGTAGTATTACAGTAATTTAACAATATTTATTAAGTACATAACTGGCACCAAGCACTCTGCTATATACTGTAATCTACCCTTACAGACTCTAGTGGAGACAAGTAAGCCAATTTCAATACAATATAAACTGTGTCATATAAGGGAAGTGTCAGTATCTTTAATAATCCCATGGATTCAATCTCCAGTACCAAAACCAAAAAACCCCAGATATTAAGTAGACAGTTTCTTCTATTATTCAACTTTATTATGGTACAAAGTGACACACATTCACTAGAAACTGTACTTGGGATTTTGAGTTGCCTGGGGGGAAGAAGACTGCCAACGAATATTTCACAGAAGTGATCACCACACAGAAGGGTGAAGAGTACTTCAGACACCAACATCAGGTGCAAAGATGCAAGGAGTGTGCTGAAGCAGCAAAAATAGGCTCTGATCACAAAAGACTATGGAGTTAATTCCATAGTTTTAATGGATGTACTTTTGATAAGAAACACAGCTGAGTAAAAAGCCAATATCACAAAAGCTAGAAAAGTGTGTGTCTTCCTAAACAGAAACTTATCAGTCATGGGATACCAGAAATACTCAGCTAAGAAAACCTATGGGAATAAATCTGTAAATAAAAACAATTCTATTGATTTCCAAGTACCATTAGCTCACATTTAAATGCATGCATAAAGTTTTGTCCAATTTTTGTGGTAGCAGACATTTCTATTGAAAAAGACCAAAACACTACTCTTTTTAAAAATGTATTTCTTTTAGTTATTGATTTACATGCAGTGCTGAGAACTGAACCCAGTGTCTCATACATGCTGGGCAAGCACTCTACCACTGAGCCACAACCCCAGTCCCAATACAACTTATTTTTAAAGGTAAAGATTATTCACTCAATATTAATATTTACAACCTTAAATAAATGTAAATGGAAACAGGAAAGTAAAAAGACTCCTAGACAATTAACACATTTTATGTTCTTTTAAAAGAAGTTTAATTAACTTAGAAATAATCGTAAATACGTACGTTCTCTTCCTTTTTCTCCCACGTGGAAATAAACAAAATAAGTGGTCATAACAGAAATAGGCACAATTCATATTTATTTACCTCTCTGCCTGTAAGGATGTGTCGTGCCAATTTCACTTTAGCAAAGTTCCCCTTGCCGATCGTTTTCAACAGTCTGTAGTTTCCGATGTGAGGCTGCTCATCCGCACAGGAAGCTATGGAGTTTCTACACCGAGCTCCAGAGCGCCCAGTGCGGGAGGTGACTTCTTGTCGCCCATCTCCATGTGAGGTGTGCTACAATGCAACATACACAAAGACAAGGAAATGAGGGAACACTTAGTGCCTGCCAAGTTTTAAGGGCTCCTAGCTGAATAAACAAAACATTACTGCTTTAATTTTAATCCTAAGGTATCTAGCACTTCAAAGAAATTTAACCACATAATATATACATTTATGAAAAACCAAGAAAATATTATAAGAAAAATACAGTGTTGCAATTCAATTGGGGGTTCCAAAAAGATATTACAGCCTGGGGTGGTGGCACATGCCTGTAATCCCAGTGGTTTGAGAGGGTGAGAGAGGAGAATCATAAATTCAAGGCCAGCCTCAGCAATTTATTGAGGTTTTAAGCACCGTACTGAGATCCTATCTCAAAATAACAAATAAAAAGGGATGGGGATGTGGCTCAGTGATTAAGTACCCCGAGTTCAATCCCTGGTATCAAAAAATATGTATATACATAACATATATATACACACACACACATATATATATAAACAGTTTCTGATCTATGATTCAACTTTACCATGGTACAAAGTGATACACATTCAGTAGAATCTATACTTGGAATTTTGAATTGAGAGCTTTCCCTAGGATAGTGCAAGCAGCATGAACTCTCACAAGAGCGCTCCCCAGTCCCCCTGGCAATCATGGGAATAAACAAGATTGCAGTGTATTATAGTGTCAGCATTTTGGGAATGCAGGTATTCAATAAATTACATGATATATTCAACACTTTATTATAGAACAGCCTTGTGTTAGATGATTTTGGCAAACTATAGAATAATATAAATATACTGAGGACATTTAAGGTAAACTAAACTAAGCGATGACATTTGCTAGGTTAGGAGTATTAAGTGCACTTCTGACTTAACGGTATTTTCAGTATTAATTCTTAATGGTATTAAGATGGACTTATTAGGATATAACACCACTATATATTGAAGAGCATCTGTATTTTGAATATGTGGCCATCACATAAAATAGGAGTAACAGGACTGCCTTCTGGTCACCCAGAGTTTTTAACTCTTCTACATGCTAGCAATAGCACTTGCACATCTGATACTCACACCACAGGCCATAAAGCAGCAAAAGCTAATGCCACCATTCACCGTTCATCAGATGAGATTAAGGCCATATAACAGTTCAGTGAAAAATTCAAGGGGAGTCTAGATTCCCAAATTCTTTCTACACGATGCTAACAATAATTTATTCCATATTCTGTTTTAATATTAGTTCTTAAAAACTTTGCTCATTACAATGTACCAATAAAAATAGGAAGAAAAAACTTTGTTCATATTTAGAAGAGCCACAGATCATAATCAGGAAACAAATTAAAATTTTACTTAAGTATATCTATTTTAAAAATCTTTTTAAAATAATCAATATGGTCCCCAAATTGTTTTACCTTTGTTCATATGGGACAGAGAACCAACCTGAATTTGAAAAGACTAAGTACCCTCCTACATGAGAAGAAATCAGGTCTCCAAATTTAAAACAACTTTATATTTCAATCCTTCCTTAGTCTCTTCCCTAAAATAGAACATGTGTGTGTGTGTATATATATATAATGTCCTTTCTATAATCCTTAAAATAACAAGCCATCTCCTTAATACAGGACAGGTTTTTTTTTTTTTTAAGTATTTTTTTTTTAGTTGTAGATGGACACAACTAATTTATTTTTGTGTGGTACTGAGGAGCGAACTCAGTGCTTCCACACAAGCAAGGCAAGCACTCTACCATTGAGCTACAGCCCCAGCCAAGGACAGGTTTTTTGAATGTGATAAAACCAAACTATAACAAGTGGACCTCCTCCAAGTATTTCATACTTCAGAGATATTAAAAAAGTTAAATTTCACTTTTGAAAAAGCCAGGCAATTATTCCATGCACTTATAGACTAAATGATGTGATTAAAAAAATAAACTCTTATCCACCTAGGGGTAGAATGGAATTTCCTTAATTTGATAAAAATCATAGATCAAAGACACTTTGAGCAAATATTACACTAAATGGAAAATTTCATAATCATTTCTTTTAAGAAACAAGATAAGGGGGATGGGGCTGTACCTCAGTGATAGCGTACTTGCCTCACATGTTTGAGGCACTGGATTTGATCCTCAGCACCACGTTAAAAAAATAGACATAAAAAGATATGGTGTCCATTTATAACTGAAAAAAATATTTTAAAAAAGAAAGCAAGAAAGAAACAAGATAAGGTTGCCCATTATCATTACAGGTTAAGCATCTCAAATCCAAAAATTAAAGTCTGAGAAATGGGATACTCAGAAAATTTCAGATTTCTGAGTATTTTGGATTTAGTATGTTTGGGTTGGGGGATATTTCGTTGGTAAAGTCTATGCAAATATTTCAAAATCTTAAAAACTCTGAAATACATTTCAGATAAGGGCTACTCAATCCATATTACTACTATTTAACATAATATTAGAGGTCAAGGCCAATGCTTTAAGGTAAGAAAAAAATTGTAATGAGACATAAGAATTGCCATGGAAGAACTATAACTATCATTTCTGTCCTTTTTTGATAGTTTTTCTGTAAATTTAAAATTATTTCAAAGTCAAAAGTTCAACAGAAGCAAGGTGTGGTGGTACACATCTGTAATCCCAAGGACTAGGTAGGCTAAGGCAGAAGAAATCAAAAGTTGAAGGCTAGACTCAGCAATTTAGCAAGCCCTGTCTCAAAATAAAAAATAAAAAGGGCTGGGGATGTAGTTCAGTGGTAGAGTGCTTGCCTAGCAGATGTGAAGCACTGGGTTCAATCCTTATCACACATATAAATAAATATAATAAAGATTCATTGGCAACTAAAACAAATTTTTTTAAAAAGATACAACAAAGGGGAAGCCCTATTAAAAATAAAAGCCTCTAAGAATATGACTAAGAAATGGGACCTGTCCCAGAAGTTCAGTCAAATCACTTTCTTTCTTCTTTGGTGCTGGGGACCCAAATCCTTTACATGTGCTAAGTAAGCACTGTGCCACTGAGTTATAACCACCAGTTTCACTTTTTTAAAAATTTTTTATTTAAAAAAAATTTTTTTAAGCTGTAGATGGTCACAATGCCTTTATTTTATTTATTTGTTTATTTTTTTATGTGGTGCTGAGGATTGAACCCAGTGCCTCATACAAATGAGTGCTCTACCACTGAGCCACAACCCCAGGCCCAGTTTCACTTTTAAAAGAATAATTGTTACTGATATAGCAAGTGAACTAAAGTGTAAAGAAATTTACTTGTCTAATCCTCAGAAGAACTATAAGGCGCAATGAATTGACCATATGTTAGGGACCTATTAAGTGCCAGGCACTACCAGGAGATGAAAACAGAAAAGTATGGTGCCAAGGCTTCAAGGCACTGGCAGTCACAGTGGGGCACTAACAAGGGGTTATGTAACTGAAGGTGGGGCAAACTCTGCCCCATGAGAAAATCTGAGTAAATATAATTAAAGCTGTCCAATAGGCATATAAAGTAAATCAAACACATATAATTTTTAATTTTGTATTTGGCCACATTAAAAAAAACAAAAAATAGGTTAAATATATTTTTCTCAACCCAATACATCCCCAAATATTTCAACACATAATATAAAATATACGTAAGTTTTACATACACAAACACATATTTTTAAAAATAATACTGTCTTTGAAATCTGTGTTTCATGCTTACAGAATGTCATAATTCAGACTGGCCACATTTCAAGTGCTCAATAGTCATATGTGACTAAGGGTTACTGTGTTGAATAAAGTAGCTTTAAGCACCGAGAGGAATGATCACATATAGAAGAGGACTGATCACATGTAGGTGAGATGGAAAAAATAAGGTATCCTAGAAGTGAGGGGATGAAGTCTTGGAATGACAAGCAGAAGAGTTTTAACAGGAGGTGAGTAGTTCCAGGCCAGACACCAGCACAAGAAAAGGTAACAGACAGTTTGAAGAGAAGAGGCAAGACTTCCCCAGCATGACTCCCACCACAAACCAAATTTACCATCAACTTCTCAAGAAGCCTATCAATGTCACTTTTTATTTATAACAATTGACAGTAAAAATTCAAAGACAAGAATTGACATATATAAATATCTAAACCACTTATGGTTAAAGATCATGGTCACATGTAGTTCTTCTCTTTCTCCAACTTTATTAAAATGACAGTTCTAAAAAATTAAGGCCTAAGACAAAGAACAGAATGACAAAATATTCTTTTAGAAACTAGAAAACAGAAAGAAAATGCCTTAACACATAAAATAAAGGTGAATTCTTAGCCAGTTGTAGAGGTAAGGGGAAATGCTGCTCTGTACCACACAACCCCCAAGACCCTAAGGAACTGGCAGCACCTACTGCCTCTGCTAGTGAGAGGGAAGGCAAGGCAGAAACAGGACAAGGTACCACTCTTGAATGACATCCCTAGATCTCCTCTCCTACTCTGGAAACAAAACTGGAGGTTCCCCAGAAAGGGCAAAATGGAAGGTCTAATGTACTTGGTCACAAGCACAAGTGAGGACAAAGGTACTAAAAACAGAAAAGAAATCAGAAAGCCAGAGACCTTTCTTCTTGCCTTCTTCCATGGCTCAGCTCCTTGGAACATGGGTAGCGAGGCATAAATCTATAGTGGAATCTGAGATAGGACAATATATATATATATATATATATATATATATATATATATATATATATATATATATGGAGAACAGGAGTTCCCCAGAGGAACTCCTCTCTAAGGCCCAGCTTGTAAAACCCACTAAATGCACAGAACCTTCAATCAGTCTTTTAATGTCTCAGCCTTAAATATGGGCAGAAAAATAAGACTCAAAATGGCACTAGACCACTTAAAGCTCAAAGAATAAGCTTTAAGACAAAATTCTGAGAAAAAAGGCTACTCAGTCTAGAATTCTATAGGTAACCACAGTATCAATCAAAAGTGAAAACAGAATAAAGATGTTTTCAGAAATGCAAGGATTTTAAAAATGTATTTCCCAGCAACTTTCTCAAGAAATCTCTGGAGG